TAAGGAAAGTGTATAGACTTTATTATCATAAAAACAAAAAGTTTTTTGAGAACATCTGTTTTTTGGGTTGGCAAAAGTATCAGCGGAAAGAGTTTATTTAGAGTTAGACTATTGATTATTTAAAAATTTGTTATAATTTAAAATAAATACTAATTTATATATTTAGTTCTTAATAAAGCTATTGAAAGAATTATGGAGTCTCATGAAGGTCTTTATAAGAAAATCGATCAATTGTTAGAATGGCAAGAAATTATAGAGAATAAGATTACTCATTTAAAAAATGAAATTTATGCGAATCAACATTTAATTATTGAACATAATTTTATCAAGGTAAGGTTTATTTTTGAATTTCTTTAAAGATCTTCAAAAACTTATATTTTATTTAAATAGTATGTGATTAAGAGTATCGTGAAACAAGTATTTTTTGAAAAAATATATCCAGACCCTGAAGATTTTTGGTGAACAATCAGGGAATTTTTTTAGCAAGAACATTTAGAGTTCTACAAAGGCCTCACAAGAAAATGCTAGAAAACATATTAAAAAACATATTCATCAAGTGATAATTCTTATAAATACTAATAACTTTAGTTCTTCAGTTATTTAATATCTTATTTCTTTAAAAGCTCGTGAATCAGAATCGATTGCTTTGTGGAACTATGGCTTCAAAAATTCATAATGCTATGTTTTCAGTTTTTGGTAAAGGATTTTTGGATACAATAAATACGAATGCATTTACTATCAAAATTTTGACCTGGAAACAATCTCAGAAAACTGCTGAATGCTTTGAAAACCTTCACAAATGTCCAAGAGGAGAGACACAAAGCATGATGGCCCGTATTCTCAAAAAAGTCTGGCCAAAGAGAGATGTCTCCAATGAACAAGTGGTATTCGACAATGTATACCTTGTTATATACAAATAAAAATAAAGAAATGATGTTTATTTACTGGGAAAACCTTCCTCAAAAAAAATTCTTAATTCAATTAATTTATTATAACAAAAATACTTTATTTATTTAATAAATTTTTTGAAAAAAAATAATAAAACAAATATTGTTATTTAATTTCAATATTTTTAAATTTATTATTAATTATATTAAATAATTTATAAAAATATTTCAGATCTAAATATTTATACAAAATAAATAAAATTAATATTAAGTTAAATAAAAAATTTTTAACAATATTGTATTTTGTTAGAAAACTTGTAATTAATATAATTTACAGATATATATTTTAATTTTATTAGGATCATATTAAAGTTTTATTATATGAGTGGCTTTTTTAAAAAAAAATCATAATTATACAGTATTTATATAAAATATAAAAAATCGTAAATATTGTATGTAGTGCATAGCAAAAAAAGCTAGACAGTTCTATTCGTGTGCTACGTTAATCTTTCATGTATAACAATTCGGGTATGTTCAGCGACATGCATAATATCAATCAGCTGTTCATTTTTTTTCCCCATGTTCTCGACCTATATAAACGTCCAATACACCACGATAAAACCATGCCATCGTATTGGCAAATAAGAATAAATTCCATTGGCTAGGAATTGTCGGAAGAATAGACTCTAGCGGAAAGTGATACTGCAATCTCATTCTTTGCAAAAAATTAGTGGTGACCATAGTACGACAGTCTGATAAACCTGCAATCATCGAATGATAATAACTTTAATTCCTTTAATAAAAACATTCGTTTCACCAAGTTCATAATATGTACGTCTACCAATGCTTCCCTCTTATGTACCTATTCATGCACGTGGCGTTAGACAAATACCAATACAAGAAGCTAATGTGACATACTTGCAGTACGTGGCACTGTGAAGATAATCACGTATTTTAATTTAGGTGACTGTCGATTATGCATCGATATTCACGAGTAATCAGTAAAATAATAATCCCTTCTCGATGTAAAAACCTTAATCAATAAAGAAAAAAAAAAACAAAGAAATATGTGAATGCATGTACGAGCTCATTGCACCTCAATCACAATCCTTGAGGGGAAAAAAAAAGCATTTATCTATGGTCGCACAGACTAATAACGACGACGTCGCGATGTGCACGATAAAAAAAAAATATTGTATATATACAGTAAAATACAGAATACAATATGTGTAATTTTCACAAATGATAACGTAAGCAAATCTGGAAAATTCGCGACAACGTATCTAGCCGGTCAATATCAAGATATGAAATTAGAAATTCGATAAGTTTGAAAATAAAATGAGTCACTATTTATCTATTATCGATTACCAAATATGTGAATAGACTTTCGAATGTCGCGCTATCAACTCATTCATTTGTTCGATCACATCATCACATTCTCAACTACAACACCACGGGTTCATTGTTGCCAAATGTACCCTATAATTCCAAACATACGATAATTATATAATTGTTGTTTGTGTGACGCGTTGTTGTTCTACAATACAACGAACAGAGTTCTTGGTATCAGTAAATTATTTCTTGATTGAAACATGCTCGCACTTTTCATTCACATTTTAAACTTTTCCGCTTACAATACGACTAATAAAACTGACCATGTACGGCAATTCAAAATTCTTTACGCATTCACCAAAGTATCAATGGATCGCATTACATTTAAAACTTTTTATACTGTATATACTGTATATACACACTTACTGTGTGCGCGTACAAGATATTGTTTTTGCAAGGTTTGACCAACGTACACCACATGCGTACATGCATGTACACGCAAACACATTAAAAACACATTGAATTTACGATTACGTATGCACGTAAATTATTCTGACTTGACGTACGTACCAATAATACCAATACCTTCTCCCCCACAGTCTAATGCATGTAAAAAACGGAGATACCTCCACCCTAATGTATATTAACGTTTTAAAATAAATTGCATAACTCACGGCTTGAATCTTTCTTCTATACCAATTCCCGTGTGTCGCCAATTTATTTTCCTTTCCTTTACTCTTAATTTTGGTATACGTTGTTTATATATACAGTATATATATATTCGCCTCTGCTTTCTTTTTTACTCTCGTTTTTTTCAATAAGCACCCTTTTTTCGTCATATTGTACTGCCGAGCGAGAGGCAATTTCCAGAAGCTTTCCAAGTTTCTGGAGGTACATGAAAGTGAAGACTTTCCTAACCCGAAAGAACCTTGTAAACCAATTATCTTTAATGTTAATTAATAGGATTCCTTCACCCAAAAACACTTTCATTCTAAAGCAATAGCCTATAATCTAGCTATTTTTATTACAACCTATATCTCTTACCCCAAATTTAGCCTTTATTCTATACTACGTACGTACAAGGTGAGTCTTCTTGCATATGAACAAACTTAATTTCATCTTTTCGCCTCGTGACTCAATCCGGTTCATTCATAAAAATTCTCTATTTCAGATTCTTAGCACATTTCCTTTCTGTTCTAAAGATACTTCCACAGTACGTAAAGATTCAAGGTGTGTTTTTTCTTCACGCTAAGTTTCGGTATTAAAGAAATTCTTCCATGTCCTAGATACGATGCCTATCCCCTTTGTAACAAAAAGATCAATTAACGAAAGAAAAAGTGCGATCAATATAGTATCCCGACCTACTCATATACCCATGCCGCGTTCATTGACATCTCCGACACCGCCAACATCTCCAACATCTCCGTTTATCTTCATATCACCCCAAAGTCCACATTTTACTTCGGTTCCAGGTGATGGTTGTTCGGGGCCGAAAAACGAAGAAACAACAAACGACATGTTCTTTAGGATTGATCCCGATAGTTGCGCTCGAGGAAAAAACGTTCTAGGTAATTTTTACTTATGAGATTGGGATTTCGGTGCTCGTGTCAAAGGTATTAACGAATCTTTCCTGCTATTTTTGACTGTAGTTCTTGGGGCAACAGGTGAACTAGGAACCCAGATAGTCAACCAAGCTCTCGATGCCTCGTACCACGTGACCGCTTTAGTTCGCTCAGATTCTAACCTTCCGTTCACACGTTATCAACTACGTAACCCCAATCTTGTAATAATAGTCGGTTCCGTGTTTGATCGTCATGATCTGGACAAGGTGATTGAAGGTCAGGATGTCGTCATAAACTGCATTGGCCCTCAACTATTCGGCAACGACACTGATGTATGTTCTCGAAGTCAGAAGATAATAATTGAAAGCATGATTAAAAACAAAGTTAGAAGATTGATTGCCATCACCGCGCAAGGCATTGGAATAATTAATGGTGTGGATTCTTCTAACAGTTCAAGCAGTTCCAGTTCTAGCAACATTAGCAATAACGAGCACGATACCGAGGACTATCCGATATCACCAACAACCTCAACATCCACACAAATTCCAGTGATCTCAAAAGGGTTACAAAAGATTTTTGGTAAATTTTTTCCAAATAAGATTCTCAACGATAAGGAACTGCAGGAACGAATCATCTTGGAAAATAGTGATTTGATTGATCATACGATAGTCAGACCTGGACGATTGATCAATGGTGCATTGACCGGTGTTTATAAAATAATGGATAGTGATGATGTCTGGAAGAACGAGAAAAGTGGTAAAACGAACTCGAAAAAGAACTCGGTCAAGATATCAAGAGCCGATGTGGCGCATTTCATTATGAGCGAGGTACAATGCAATCGATGGATGGGGAAAACATTGATAATTGAAGGTAGTTCATGATATCACAGATGTTATCAAAACTAGCATAGCAAAAAAAAAAAAAATTATTCACGGTATATTTATATTTATTTTTTTTTTTGTAAATAATAAAATTAAATCGGAGTTAATGAAATAATTTTCTCAGCTGGCTGATGGACTTTGAGTTGTAGAAAATAAGCGGAGGTTTCTCTTGAAAAAATATAGTCAAATTAGTATACATTGACTGTGCACGCTATCTAAATTTTACCGTTTTCTAAATAAAATCTTCACATGAAAAACAAATATTCGTGTCAGTTTCATGATTGTATAATATTTAAGCTAATATAGCGTGTGATTGATATTTCTTTTGCTTTTTCTTGTTTCTTTTTTTGATCTTGGTCTTGCTTTTTTAGAGTAAAAAAAATATTCAACAGTATACAGTATTTATAAAAATAAATTTAGTAAAACAAGCAAATTATTATACGTATATTGTATTGACTTTAATCAAATGACTTTTTTTTTACATTGACCTTCTGCCATCAATAACAAGCTCGCTCGCTATTTCAATTTTCAAATAATATACTTATAATTGTTATTTTCAGTTTTTAAACTTTAATTTAATTAATAAATCAATATATTGTTTTTAAAAATTTGTTAAAATCATTTTTATGGATTTGATTCCGTTCAATTTTTTTTAATAACATACAAATAATTGTCGAAAATCTTACAAATATAATGATCATTAAATTTTTTATAATATACTTATGAATAAATATATTATTACGATACAGTATTTACAAAATAAATATTTTTTTTATTAAAATAATTTCGTTGATTCTTTATAAACCGCAATACGAGTATTAACTTGTGTAGATATTTGTTTGATTGATTTTTAAGGACGTTTGCAAAATATCTGTTTTCAAAGATTATTTAAATCGGATTTTTTTTTTTATTAAATATAATAATTAAATTAATTAATTAAAATATTTTAATATCAATCATTTTTTTTTTGTAAATTTTAAATAGGACTTAAACCATGATAATTAATCCGATTTTTAAAATTTTTTTATTATCACGAAATATAAAAAATTTATTAAAAATAGACAAACATATCTATGAAAAAATTTTTTAATTAATAAAATATTTCAAAAAATAAATTTTATTATTATCAAATTTCAAAGCTATTTTATGAAAATCATTTTATAAATAATATTATTATTTGATATCGAAAATAAAAATTTGGATTATATAAATAAAATTAAGTAATAATAAAAAATTCTTTTCTAATCATATCTAATTTTTAAAAAAAAATTATTTATAATAATTTTAATTAAAAAAAAAATACTTTTTACTTTTTATTACAAATAAGCTTTAGCTTAAAAACTTAAAAACTTTAAAAAAATATTTTAAATTTAGAAATATTGGTTATTTTTTAATTGTATAAGAAAAAACATATGACATTATATTTTGTTTTTTTGTTTTTTTATATTTTTTATATTTATAATATTACATAGTATATATTATTTTTATATTATTTTTATACTTAGTTAACTTATCCCTTAAATTGTAATGCAGGCAAATTTGCTTGCATATTTAAAATTTTAATAAGTTTTTAAAAAATTTTAATAA